GTAGGTGCAGGTAGACGGTTACACCGTCAGAGACATTGCGCAGGTGCCAGGTAGAAAACGCTCCGACGGTTTCCCCAGATGTCCGCCGTCGAGCACGTGATGCCATTTCGGAGGTCGAATTTCGCTAAGGACCACCTGAGCGAATTTCGCATGCCCTCGCAGAGTTTCGCAGTCGCGCGAATTTGGTCGACCAGTTCGCCAAGCTGACGCTCGCCGAACAGCGCCCTTCGATCAGAGAACGCAGCTCCTCGGACAGCACCCCGTCCGTCAGAGATCGCGCGACCCAGAAGCAAATCAGAAGACGAGCTCGTCGAACAGCACCCCGTCGACCAGAGCTCGTTGACGGGCTGGTGAATCAGAGGACAACCTTCCTCGAAAACCACCCGCGGTTTCAGAGGACGGGCTGCTCCAATGCGACGATCACTTCGTCGAATTCACCACGTCGTCGCAGAGAATGCCTGCGCCCAAGCGAGGGCGGGGCCTTTCACTCCGACACTCCCTCCCTTCAGTCATCCTCACAGCTGGCGCAACAGCCGTCAGCGCTTCCTCTGCCGGCCACTGCGGACTCTGAGGGTGTTGGTGCTCGAGGTGAGGGCTCTGGCGGTGCTCGCTCTGGGGGTGCTGGCGTTGGAGCTGTTCGTGCACCTACAGGAGCCGCCCGTTCTGGGGGTGTTGGCGTTGGCGCTGAGCGTGCACCTGCCGCAGCTGCCCGTTCCGAGGGTACTGGAGCTGGTGGCGGTGCTGGAGCTGGTGGTGTTTCTGGAGCTGGAGAGTCTGGGGCTGGTGCTGGTGCCACTGGAGGCACCACGACTGGGGGTGCGGGTACACCTCCTACAGGTGCTGGTCGTGCTGCCGCGGGAGGTACTCGCTCTGGGGGTGCTCAGCCGGGTACTGTCGAGGACGGAGGAGGTTCTTCTGCTGCGTCTCCTGACACCACTCCTCCTCCTCACCCCTACCCGACTCGTTACCAGGCCCTTCTTCGTCTAGAGCGTGAGGAGCAGCAGCGTTTGGAGCATGAGAGGTCGGAGGTCCAGCAGCGTTTGGAGCGTGAGAGGTCGGAGGTCCAGCAGCGTTTGGAGCGTGAGAGGTTGGAGTTGCAGCAGCAGCAGCAGCAGCAGCAGCAGCCACAGCAGCCGGAGCAGCCTCCGGCCCCTGTTTCTGGCCTTCGGGCCCTTGGTCTCCCCTCCTCTCGTCCTGTGTTCGGTCCTACGTTTCCTCCTCCGGACTCAGCTCCGGCTGTGTTCCCTCGTTCCCGGTCTCCTCCTCCTCTCACCCACACTTGGACCTCTCGTCCTCCTCGTGCTCGTCCCTCGTCACCTGTCACTGACCTCCGTACCGTGTTGTTTCGTTCCAGTCCCCCTCGTCCTCCTGAGTCTGTTCTTCCTCGTCCTCCTGAGTCGTCCCTCACTGCCTCCCTGTCCACTCCGGTCTCTGACTACTACCGCACGTACCGCCCCACTCTCTCTCGTGTTCTCGCCTCTCTTGTTACAGACCCTCGTGCCTCTCCTTCCTCCGTCGCGGTCCTCACTGCCGCTGTCACTGACTTTACTGCTACGCGTTGCCTTGACTACGCCACTCGTGTTGTGGCCGCTCCTCCTGTCCGTCCTCTGTCCGTCGGGGGTGAGTCTGCCCTTGGCTGTGACGTCCTAGAGGACAGACAGTTTGAGCTAGAGTTCCTGGCAGCTGCTTCGCCTCATCTCTGTGCCATGCTCCTCGCTCCTGAGGGAGACCCCGACGCTCCTGACATTCCTACTCCTCGCACTTACGCTGAGGCAGTGTCAGGGCCTTGGGCCTCTCAGTGGAGAGCTGCCATGGACGCAGAGATGGCCTCCTACAGGTCCACAGGCACTTACGTTGACGAGGTTCCCCCCCCAGGGGCGAACATAGTTGACGGCATGTGGATCTTCAAGGTGAAGCGGCCGCCGGGATCTCCCCCAGTCTTCAAGGCATGCTACGTGGCTAGAGGGTTCAGTCAGCGCGAGGGGGTTGACTTCTTTCAGACCTTCGCGCCCACCCCGAAGATGACCACTCTTCGGGTGTTACTTCACGTAGCGGCACAGAGGGACTACGAGCTACACTCCCTCGACTTCTCCACCGCCTTCCTGCAGGGCAGCCTACACGAGGAGATATAGCTGCGTCGTCCTCCGGGCTTCACTGGCACCTTCCCGCCTGGGACCCAGTGGAGCCTCAGACGACCGGTCTACGGTCTCCGCCAGGCACCCCGTGAGTGGCACGACACTCTCCGCTCTACTCTCTCCGACCTCGGGTTTGAGCCGTCTTCCGCCGACCCGTCGCTGTTTGTTCGTCGTGGGCGCACACCTTTCTTCGTTCTGGTCTACGTTGACGACTTGGTTTTTGCCACAGCCGACACAGTTGCACTGGCGGAGGTGAAGTCCGAACTGCAGAAGAGACACACCTGCACTGACCTTGGGGAACTGCGCCGCTACCTTGGCCTGCAGATCTCCAGGGACAGAGCCGCTCGCACCATCACTCTGACTCAGTCACACATGGTGCAGCAGGTCCTTCAGCGATTCGGGCTTCAGCACTCCACTCCTGCACCCACCCCTCTTGCTGTAGACCACAGACTCACTGGGCCTTTTCCTGACGAGCCGTTCGAGCCCAGTGGTCCCTACGCAGAGCTGGTGGGCTGCCTCATGTACCTGATGACGTGCACTCGCCCGGACCTCGCCTTCCCTCTTATCATTCTGTCTCGCTTTGTTGCGACTGGGAGACACCGTCCTGTTCACTGGACGGCGGCTAAGAGGGTGGCGAAGTACCTCGGCGCGACATCGGACATGGGGCTTGTACTTGGAGGGACACAGCCAGTTGTACTCACCGGTCACTGCGACTCCTCGTACGCCGACGACGTTGAGACTCAGAGGTCTACGCAGGGTTACTGTTTCAGCCTAGGCTCTGGAGCTGTTTCGTGGAGGTCTACTCGGTCTTCCTCTGTTGCGACTTCTACCGCAGAGGCCGAGATCTACGCTGGAGCCCTTGCTGCACAGGAGCTACGTTGGTTGACCTTCTTGCTCACTAACCTTGGTGAGCGGCCGAGCTCTGCACCGACCTTGTTTGCTGACAACAAGGCGATGATTCTCCTGTGTCGAGAGCCTCGACTGGAGAGCAGAGTGAAGCACATCGACGTCAGGTACTTCCTCCTTCGAGAGTTGCAGAGACGCGGACAGGCTCGTCTGGACTTCGTGGCCTCCGAGGCCAACACTGCAGACATCTTCACCAAGGCTCTTCAGCCTTGTGACCACCGTCGGTTTTGTCTGCAGTTAGGCCTTGTTGAGACTGGGTCTAGTAGACTGCAGTAGTGTTTACCTACCTCTTGTTTGCTTGTATCACATATATATTAGCTTGTACACTCTTGAACTGGCCTTGTGGCCCCTTGTTTGTGCTCAGACTGTGTGGTGACGTTGTGATCCACCCTGAGCTGTGTTTTCTCTCTTGCTTGTGACTGGTCTTGTGACCTTAGGTTGTGTTTTTTGTTGCTTGGCATTCCCCACTTAGGCTATGGGGGTGTGTCAAATGTTATAGCCTCTAGTGGGTTGCCAATTATATGCATGTATAGTTTAGATAGACTATATGGGGGTTAACACTAGGGGGTACACAATTTCTCTCGACATTCTTGTACTCCCCCCCTTGACCTAATCCACATCCTAGCCTAAGTATCTTGACAGATAGGTGCTGGAGATGGAATGCCGGAAAGGCTAGATGCAGGTTGGTGAGGGACGACAGGTTCCTGAATTCCGGATTTCCTAGGGTTGCGGGAGTGGTGAGAGCGAGCGTGTGCAGGTGTTTGAGTTGAAAGAAGGACGGCGGGAAGTCAGCACCGTCGCGGAGGCAGAAGAGCGAGAGCTGCTGCAGCTGAGAGCAGCGGCGGAAGAAGAGATCCATCCCGGTCTCTGTGATTGGATGCTCGTGGTTCGCTCCACCAATGATTCGCGGCGTTATCTTCCCTCCCATGTGGAGAATGGTGAGCTTGGGGCATGACGAGGCAAGGTGAGCGAAGAACGCGTCGTTTAGGGTTTCCACGCTGTTGTTGCACAGATGGAGATGCGTGAGGCTCGAAAAGTGAGCGACGACGACCGTTAGGTCTCGGAGGGACGCGACGAGGTTCTCTCTGAGAAGCAGCTCGGATACGTGGGGGTGCAGGTGGTGCTGAGCGATGCGCCGCCAGTGACGGCAGACGGGCGCAATGAGGAGATCGACGGCTGGAGATGCAGATGCTGGAGGAGTCGGTAGAGGTGTACTGTATTGAAGTTTATCTAGATCGACCCGTCCACGGATGTCCCTTGGCTCGAAGTCCAAGGAGGCCCACAAAGCGTCGCTGGTGTCAGATTTGCGAGAATCAGGCTCCGATAATTGCCGTAAATTTTTAATTAGAAGGTCATGAGAGAGGCTGTTGATGTGTGAACGAGACGCCATAGCCGAACTGGCTACGATTGTATGGAAAAGCTGTTCAGCTGTGATCAGTAAGTAGTGGAGAAACTGTACGACGGCAAGTGAGGCAGGTGTTAAATAGAACATATACTTGTTCACCGCAGAAAGCGAGCGATGCACCCCACATTCCAAACCTCCCAGGAGAAAGCCAGCTTGGCAAGCCCAGGTTTGCGCAATAAACCTGATTCACCACCTCCCCTTACCACCTGAATTCCGCAACACCACCTATCACCCAGATTGGCGCGAATATATTCCTGCCCGCACCAGACGGAACCCCACCGAAGTTTAGGCGGGAAACATTACGCGCGGCGACGAAATTCCGTTTCTCGCAGGCAGTAGCCTTATTGGTTGCGAAATCATGTCACCACTCACGTCTTTTCGTGTTTCGGCACGAGGTGCTGCTGAGCTCCATTTTGTTCCCGCCCCACAGGTAACATAAATTTCACCTCTTCGACAGTCGTGCTATCCACTCCACGTTGCAAAAGCTGAAGACTGAAACCAGCACTCGCCGCAGGATCAAGCACAGAAGCCTGAGAATACATTCAACTCGCGCCATGGCGTCGTGGAAGCTTTCCGTTCTCGCCCTCTGCGCGCTCGCGTCATTGCTGGTGCCCGCTGCGGCGCTGCCTACCAAGGAGGACTTCATTGACGAATTAAAGTTGACCCGAGACGCGCTTTCAGATTCCCAGCTGAACAACCGATATGACGCCACCCGCACGCTCCTTGACCACGTCATCCCTCAACTGGGTAAGCCCGCGGCATTTCCTGCAAGTTATGCACGCCGGTTTTTGTCTCGTTCCCTGGTACTACTAGATTTCGTTGTGTTCTTGGCTTGACACTGCTTCGGTTTTCTTTGTGATGATACAGAGACCGACTGGAATCCGAATGACGATTTCCTAAAAAAAGTCGACCACAAAACCTTCATGCTGCCCGAGGACCGCGCCATTGCTACCTCAGCGCCGGACGCGCTCGCCATGATGGTGAACACCGGCCTGAAGCGCGGTGACGTCGATCCCTTCACCAAGCTTTTTCGCGCTCAGATGCTCGACGGCGTGTACCCAGAGGAGGACGACATTGCGAAAGCGTCAACTCTCAAGGACGTGAATGGTCGCACCGTGAGCAAGGAGGAAGTTGTGGACACGACGACTCAGGTCAACGCAATGAATATTGGATTTGGCAAGAACAAGTTCAAGATTGGAAAGGGCAAGAAGAGAGTGAGGATTGGAAAGGGCAAGGCTAAGATTAAGGTTCCTGGGATTTTCAGGGGAAGGTTTCTTACCATCCATGGCGTTGACGCGTCGCAGCCGACAAAGTAATCAAGATTACTAATGTTCTTCTTGGGGGAAAGCGGTGCTTTTCTTGCAATGCACGAAGTGGTTGAGCGCTTTACTAGTTCCGCTCTTTTACTTTTGCACCAAGTTTGTGTAATCCAGCAGCTTGTCTCAATGTTGCTCCCAAGAAGTGTATGTTTCTGTGCTTGGCTGCTAATTGTGTTTGGACTGTAACACATTGCAATAGTAGTCGCAGACGTGGCAAGGACATCACCAAGCTGTACGGCCCCCCTCCCCTCCAACACAATGCCAGCTGGAATCCCCGAGTGCTACATGGGAATTAAGCTCATGGGCAAATGAACCGTTCATGCAAACAGAAAACTAAGGACATCCTAGTAGGTTATGACATGCGCCTTTGAACGTGTGTGCAGCTTGAGGTAGCGGCAGGACTTGGTAGGGTGTGGCAGTGGGCGAGGTGGGCTGCGGTGCAGGCGGGAATGAGTGTTCAAATGCAAGGGAGAGAGAACACAATAGCATGTAGGCGTGCACCAACTGGCACGGCGGCACGGATACAAGGGGGGTGAGGCATGCTGAGATTGAACACGGGGAAAGAGACAGAGGATGAGACAACACAGCAACCAATGAATGGCGTACACCTGTAGGAAACATCGTTGAGTGAAGGTGCATGTGGGACAAAGCGTGCTCTGTAAGGAAGGACTGGAGCAGGCTGAGTCTGAAGCATGGAGTGGAATTTTCACTCAACATCAACACCTGTGCCTTCCCTTGCCATGTCTCTGCCTTCCCCTACCATGCGTGTGTTGAAATACTAAGCATAACCTAGGACTAGGAGCCTAGGGTTTAGGGTACACGAAAGAGAAATAGGAGAGAAGAGGGTTTGAACTAGAAAGGAGGGAGGTACAGATAGCAAGCCCAAAGGGTTATACTCACTATTGAGTACCCCACTACAGACTAGACAAGCATTATATTCTGACACACCCCCATAGTCAAAGTGGGGTACAATCAGCACAACAAGCAGGCAGAGCAATAGGTCGCAATTATAAGCAAGGCTAGAGACTATCAGAGAGGGCAAGAGAGGAGGAGGAGAAACTGTGGGGGCGAGAAGATGGGAGGCGACGGCTGAAGCTGCAGACACACGGGCAACAGGAGTGCGCTGTACTGTGGCTACCAGTGGCCGCAGCCCCGGACTACACGGCCACAGACGCAGCTGGCTCTCTGTGCTCCCAGGAGTGCGCAGTACTGTAGCTACCAGTGGCCGCAGCCCAGGACTACACGGCCCCAGACGCAGCTGGCTCTCTGGACTACAGGCGCTGCGGACGACAAGACGGCTGCCTCCACTCAACTTCCTCCAGCTGTCCCACACCCATGTCACACACCCCCTGCTTCACCTCTAGCACTGCTTACACGCCACCCCCCTCGTACCACTCCGACGGCTCCAACACATCCACCCCCCTCAGCGGCAGCTGCAGCAGTGGGAGACGGAGGAGGAGGAGGAGCAGGGGACGGCACACACACGGCACCCCCATACCCTCCACCCCCAAACCCTAACACAGGAACGCGGGCAGTAGCGGGGGTGGGGCGCCGGCAGAAGCTCGGGGGACGGACGAGGCGCGCGCACGGGCCTGCCGCAGGCCGGACGAGGCGCGCGCGGGCTGCCCGGGCGACGGGGGGCGACGCGCGGGTCCCTGGGGACTTAGCAACGGGCGACGGGGGGCGACACGCAGTTCGACGGGGCGGAAAACCGCCGCGCGCTCGGGGCGCGCGGCGGGAAGAAAAAACCGCCGCGCGCCCGGAGCGCGCGGCAGGCAGGAAACAGCAGCGGAAGCATCGTGGGGCCCACAGGCCAAGAGCGTAACAGCTCTGATACCATGTTGAAATACTAAGCATAACCTAGGACTAGGAGCCTAGGGTTTAGGGTACACGAAAGGGAAATAGGAGAGAAGAGGGTTTGAACTAGAAAGGAGGGAGGTAAAAATAGCAAGCCCAAAGGGTTATACTCACTATTGAGTACCCCACTACAGACTAGACAAGCATTATATTATGACAGCCTTCAACTGCTGCCACGCATGCTGCTGCTATTCCTAAGCTCTGCGCCCCATATGCTCCCTGCACTGGCTCTTCTCCGAGCACTAGCCCTTCGGCAAAAGCACTGCTGTCTGGAGCACTACTGTTGCTGCCCCTTGTCTTGCTGCACCCTGCTTGCACTGCTCCCTTGCTCACGGGTGGGGAGCAGCAGCAGCAAACAGGTTGCACTGGAATACCGTAACATGAATCATGTATTTATCTAGTAGTATAGTGGGTACTGTGAAACAATGAGAGGAAAAAAGAGGGAGAGGCAAGGGGTGGGGTGTGAGTAAGTGCGAGAGGCAATGAGTGTGAACGGCAATGTGTGCAAGAGGCAATGGGTGCAAGAGGCAATGGGTGCAAGAGGCAATGCGTGCGATGTGCCAAAAACTGCAGGCAATGCGTGCGATGTGCCAACACATTCTTAGAGTTAGATAGGAATGATTGGCTATCGAGAGGCATGGGTACAAGTACAAAACCTAGAAATGTGTTGTACTCTATAAGCACTACCCCACTACAGCCTACACCCTAACATATTATATACAGATGTTTGACACACCCCCATAGGCAAAGTGGGGGAGAGCAAGAGGTCACAAGACCAGTCAAGAAAAGCAAAGCAAGCTCAGGGTGGATCACAACGTCACCACACACTCTGAGCACAAGCAAAGGGCCACAAGGCCAGTCCACATGCAGAGGTATATATGCAACAAGAACAGTACAGTGATCTCTACCTAGCAAGAGCAAGCATGCAGGTATATATATATAGATCACAGTACAAGCAGAGTCTACAGCAAGTGTGGAAACGTAGGCACAAGGCCCAACAAAGTACAAAAGCGCTGATGGTCACCAGGCGGAAGTGCCTTGGTGAATATATCAGCAGTGTTGGCTCGAGTGGCCACGTGAGCAAGACGAAGCTGACCTCGCTGCTGCAACTCTCGAGCCAGGAAGTAATGCAGAGCGATGTGCTTCGTTCTGTGCTCCAGTCTATGCTCCTCACACAAGGCAATGGCCGCCTTGTTGTCAACGTACAGAACTGGAGGAGAACGAGGCCGCTCACCCAAGTCAGTCAGCAGGTAGGTGAGCCAGCGTAGCTCCTGTGCAGCCATGGCAGTGGCGTAGATCTCAGCCTCACAACTGGAGCTGAGAACAGAAGACGAGCGTGTAGACCGCCAAGAAACAGAGCCAGAGCCAAGGCTGAAGGTGTAACCCTGTGACGACCGCTGCGTAGCCTGGTCGTCAACCCAAGACGCGTCTGAGTGTCCAGTGAGGACAACCTTGGTCCGGCCTCCAAGCACGAGCCCCATGCCCGATGTGCTGCACAAGTAGCGCAGTACCCTCTTCGCAACATCCATGTGCACCTTTCGGTGCCGACTAGGAGCCACGTAGCGAGCCAACAGGCCAAGAGGGTACGCAAGGTCAGGTCGAGTGCAGGTCATCAGGTACATGAGGCAGCCCACTAGCTCAGCGTAAGGACCACTCGACTCTACGGACTCGTCCGAAGGTGGAGCTGAGAGTGAGTGACCTGTAGCCAGAGGAGTGGACTGTGGTGAGGACCAGGTGAAGCCGAAGCGCTAAAGGACCTGCTGCACCATGTGTGACTGAGTCAGTGTGATGGTGCGGCGTGCTCTGTCCCGGGTGATCTGCAAGCCAAGGTAGCTATGCAGCTCACCCAGGTCAGTGCACGTGTGTCTCTTCTGTAGCTCCGACTTCACCTGAGCGAGAGCCTCAGTGTCAGCAGTGGCAAAGACAAAGTCGTCGACGTACACGAGGATGTAGAACGGCGGCAACGAAGTGTCGGTGCGTAGAAACAGCGACGGGTCAGCAGTCGAAGGCGCAATCTCAAGAGCCGCAAGTGTAGTTCTCAGTGTGTCGTGCCACTCACGAGGCGCCTGGCGGAGACCGTAGACTGGCCGCCGGAGGCTCCACTGAGTACCAGGAGGGAACGACCCAGTGAAGCCAGGTGGGCGGCGCAGCCAGATCTCCTCGTGCAGGCTGCCTTGTAAGAAGGCTGTGCTGAAGTCAAGAGAGTGAAGCTCGTAGTCACGCTGGGCGGCAACGTGCAGCAGCACCCAAAGAGTGGTCATCTTTGGGGTAGGGGAGAAGGTCTGGAAGAAGTCAACTCCCTCACGCTGACTGAAGCCTCTAGCAACGTAACGAGCCTTGAAGACAGGCGGAGAACTCGGCGGCCGCTTCACCCTGAAAATCCACATGTCATCGACGATGTTCGCCCCAGAAGGGGGAACCTCGTCGACGTAAGTGCCTGTGGACTTCCAGGATGCCATCTCTGCGTCCATGGCTGTCTGCCACTGAGAGGAGTACTCACCCGCGATCGCCTCAGTGTAAGAGCGCGGGGTCGGGATGTCTGGTGCATCCGGGTCTCCCTTAGGGGCAAGCAGCATGGCCACGAGATGAGGCGCAGCGGCTGCAAGACACTCAAGGTCCTCATGCCTGTCCTCAAGAACGTCCGTGCTAAGAGCACACTCACCCCCGACGGACGGAGGACAGACAGACTCAGACTCAGCAACAAGACTAGCGGCGTAGTTTAGACGACAGGCAGCAGCAAAGTCAACAAGCTCAGCGACCAAGGCAGACGCAGCAGCAGACTCAAACGACGAGTCAGTGACAATATTGGCTAATAGACGCGTGATAGTAGGGTGTGCAGCACGAAACTCGTCAGACTCAGGGTCCGCAATGTCAGACAGAGAGGACGCAGGGGGGGAAGGTAGAGGAGTACGCTGTGGAGCAGAGGAATGACGAAGGGCGACAAGACGCGTGCCGGAGACAGCCGGCTGATGCTGACGAGGAACACGACGAACGGTACGACGAGGACGAACAGGCGAGACAGGACGCGACGTAGGCTCACGACGCTCAGCAAGACTCCCTGTCTGCTCAGTGTAAGGAGAAGGAGCAGGCAGCGGTGAGCCAGGCAGTAACTGTAGACCAGTAGAAGACGGGAGGTCAAG